AGTTGAAGTCCGATTTTCGAAATCTCAGATTTTCCGCCAAACATATCGTGTACCGTGACACACTCAACATGCCCGTGAACCACATGTCATGAATTCGAGCAAATTTGTTAAATTGTGATATAAACGGAATGTTTTGTAAAATGTTCAAATTTGGTAATAACGAGCGGTAGGGTCTGTTTGTCATTTGTGTCATTTGTGATATGTATGCGATGGCTTCAAACTGTTGATGGCTTGAAGCTGTTACAACCGCCTTCATAAAGAAATCATTGACACTCGCGGAACAAAGTACTTTTGAACTTCGCCCCGTGGACAAAACATTTCTCGTTTCTGCTAATCAATTTTATTACATTTCCTGCATAAAACAAATTGAAATTCAACAATAACTGAAATTAGTGGTATTGTACATGAATTTAAGTAATCGCGAAGTCGTTCACAAAAATACATTTCCATTATTGAGGAGTGAAAAGACACAATGGGAATCGTTTTCACTAGTATGTCAATTGGTGGATTGTGAAACTCCAAATTGAAAATCAATATGATGCCAAGCTGTTCACCGGGAAAGATGTGTGTCAATGTAATAAGCGGTTGTATTTAAAAAACGAGATTCGAAATATATATTGTTTTAAACCTAAAATATTTAAAATTATTCACCAATTTTAGGCGTATTAATACAGACGGGGTACCTGGCATTATGTTTAATAGGTCACATTCAGTTGTTTTGCGGTTAGTATACAAAGATATGGGAACAAATAGAACATCCCGTTTGTTTTAATTATTTTAGCGTGAACAAATACCACAGCCGATACTTTTGAACTGATGCGCCTTTCTCTAAAAGCGGATAGTGTTTTTTAAGTAGAACCTAAATGTGTGTAGTTTTTAGTTGTTATATTAATTTGATTTCAATATTGCGCCACAGTCGTCGCGTGTTTCACTTTCACATTTTTTCATTTACACGCGGTGTGAATGTTACACGACAACTGAAAAACTCTCGCTTAGAACGCTGCACGTCGCGGCACCGCGAATGTGGGCGCTTTGAACTAATAACCACAGTTATCCCTGCATCGACAATGTCTGTACAGCGTGAATTACATCCAAACTAATGTAAAATACCATGTATATCACTTGGCAAATTTAACTACCCTATAACTTTCATAGAGTATAGTCTTATAACGAGTGTTGGAATTTTAGCTTTGAGCGATAAAGTGTAATGTCAAAGGTCATCACGTTTCAGTACTATATCACGTGATCAACATTGTAAAGAAACAACGTGTATAGCTTTTAATATGTTTGAACACTTTCAAATAATTTAATTTAGTTAGTTCATCGTGATAAAAATAATAGAACATTATTTATCGCTAAATAAAAAATCAGGGCGCATAAACATCCACGTTTTCAATAGTTCATTGAACGAATAATACATCAGCTTTGCCGTTTGCTGCCAAACAAGGTTTTTATTTCATGATGAAACTAAACATTATTATTCCTAATAAGATACAGCATTAAAATAATCATATTTACCCATACTGCATGTGTTATTCAACTCACGAGGTCTATTTTACGGGCAAGGCCTGAAGGCTCCACGAATAATTCACTCATCCGTCATGCGGCGAGTCTTCAACTTTTTCCCCAAAACATAACACCACAGATTTATGTGGCCTCTATATATTATATTGATCGAGTAAGGTTAAGGTTGAACAGTTTTTTTGGGGGGGGGGATCCTTCAAATTAAGATGCAAAATAAAGGTAGACGTCTGTGGAACATTTATCAAAAGAAGTCACTTTAAAGCATTATTTCATTAAAAATGAATATTAAACATCAGAATGTCATAATATAATGTTATAACTGTACTGTGGGATATTTTACTTTCGCTTGGAATTAATTTGCGCCATTTTCGAGAGGATGAAATCCTGCAAATATACCTTTTATCCTATATTTCACAATCAACTCATCAAAAATCAGTGAAAATAAATTCTATACAAAATACCCAAAAAAGTCTATTCAGCGAAAAGTAATTCCAGCTATAATAAAGTATTTTACAGTATATGATTTTTACCGTGTATGACCAAACAAAACTATGCGTTATTATGATGAATTTTAGTGACCGTCTATTTTATCTGGATTTTGTGAACATCAGTATAAAATAAACACGAAATGCTATATGAATCTGATCATGTATTATAGTATACTGCCTTGGCCTCTGTGTCGTAACAAACCCATCTATGTCATCGCGTATGGCGTACGCTACTTTCGAGATGAACAAAAAAAACGCAGTACAAAACGCAGTACAGACAGTCTTGTCTAGCTTGTTGCTAGTGTCAGTGTCCTGAGTTTTCGACTCAAAGTTTCTGGATTATAATATTAAGACATCAGTGTCTCAACTGTATTCGGTAAATCTAGTTTTACCGTTTGTATATGGATTGCTAAATTCATTACTTTAGAAGAAACGAGATTGATTTGTGAACAATGAGGAAACAATTGACGCCCTGTTGGTTGTAGAATTTCATCGCAAATTGAGTAAATTGTTGGAATTTATTCCATTGATCACGGGCTAATTAACACTAAACGATGTGGGAAGTGGCTTGCAACGTCCCGGGGGTGTGTATTGTGCTTAGATGCAAAAAACGCTGGTCACTTAAACGCTTTGCTAATCAAATGCATTCTAAAACAAAGAGGCGATCAGTGAACACAAAACATAATCACAATACAACAAAAAGTAATCTCGATTACGTCAGAATGGTATAATTGTCTTTTCAAATTTAGGTATTCCGGTGTGGAGAATGGCGGTGATTGGCTGCAAGAGAAAAAAAAAACACGATTCCGGTATTGTTACACGATGCACACTGCCGTGACGACAGCGAACAAAATTTGGTGGAGAGAGCACAGGTAAGACAGCGACTTCTATTCACACTGTAGCAGTAATCTGCGAGTCCTGGAGTTAGGTAGGACAACTTCGAAGCGTTTCGTGGTACCCACACGTGTGTTTCAGTGCATTATAGATAGTTTTCTGTAAGCCTCTATCTAAAGCCGTGGTTATAAATGCCATAAACCTATCAAACTCTATTATCACATTCTCGTTTGAGTTATAAACCCAGGCGTTTTAAACACAATTTCCGATATTCAAATGTATATATTTGTAATCCACTCAAAATAAGAACTTCCCGGAAAACAATAATTTTACGGTCTCGGTTCTTAGTTGAATTATATTTTAATTATAAAATAATACAAATTAAGGAACATTCTTTTCGCCTTCGAATAGGTGTAAACTGCATAAATTAAACAGAATGAAGGTGCTTGAATTACGTGGTGTTAATCGCCATGTTTGCGAGCAGTACAATGGCTCCACCCACTTGTGAACGTTTTCATGCTGGCATCGCAGCTACAGCTGTAAAAAGCGCAGTTAGCGGCTAATCAACAGCTAGATGGATATGTTAATTCGATCATGCTAAACACATTCTATGATATTATAACCGTTCAACAAATCGTGCCATTTTCAAATGCGACACCGAACATGGAGGTCTGGTAACTTCTTCAGTAACTTCTTGATTTGTTCCAGCCAGTCGGAGAAAGAATGACTTCATATCAAGTCTTGAACACTCGGGATACAAACAGCATGTCCTCTTACCAGACACCAACGTCCAAAGATTCGAAAAAAACATCCCGACATATGGTGAGAAAATTGCGATCTGCGTACGAGGATCACGAACAGTTATCCCTTCATCACGGACGCGCAGGCACACATCAGCGGGATGTAAATGGCGACATGAAAGAACTGCAGATGACATGTCCGAGAGATGGCCATCTCGCTTCTGTTGAGGCCGAGCAACCGAAGCAGAAAATCAAACAGGAGGAGGAAAAGGAAAATGTTGGAAATTCTGAAAAATGTGGCATCGATACTAAAGTTTCAACCAAACTGATTCATAAGCATTCTATTGAAAGTATCCTGAACATAACGTCACTCAGTGGAAATAAACAAGGGGATTTTAAACCGCGTGATAGTGGAATCTCTCTCAGTTGTGATACGATTTCTGTTTCAAGACATCCTGAAAGTTGCTATAATACCCACACAGAAGTGAAAAATGCTGGTAAGATATTATTTAGATTACCATGTAAAGTAGATTTATTATAACTGGTACAAGCCCTGCGTACAGTGCTGTGTGTACGGAGACGCGTTCGGTTGATAGATGTCCCCACCACAGCCCTGCGAACTTCCATAGACAAAGTCCGGGACTTTGAAAAATATAACTTTTTTAATTTGAAATAACATGACCAGGTACCCAAAATGGTGATCGATTACCAGATATATCCAGAACCCCTAGTTCGGAGTCCAATTGTGGATGAAATCGGCTACTTTGCCCTAAAAACAAACGCATTCTCTCGCGTGAATGAAATTAAAAATGACGGCGTTTGGTGGATAATTCCTCCGGTACCTACGCGTTTACAATTTGACCGTCTTTACTAGTTGTTATTTAAAAACATTTCAGTTTCAGATAACTTTGTAATGGTTGTTACGGATAACTATCGTCATTTCTAAAAATTTCGGCTGGGAAACTACTTATTTTTAACTTGCGCACCAATTACGGCGCGCTCCCGGACTTTGTCTATGGAGGTACGCAGGACTGTGGTGGGGACATCTGTCAACCTAACGCGTTCCCGTACACACAGCACTGTACGCAGGGCTAAACTGGTACATGATTCCCCCCCCCCCCCCAACACTTCCATCTTGAAATTCGCATTAATCTATACGTACGACATTTACCAGCTCGTCATTTACCATAGTTTTCAAAAAAAATGCATGATGTATGATTTTATTATATCAGAAATTAATTTATCCGTGATTTGTTCACAGTTTTCGATCCCAACCTCAATTGCGACGCCGTAATTCCGAGTTCACCCAATAAAGACGCCATATTGGAGACGACAACTAGATTGATCTCTGAACCCCTCTGTAACGATCAAGACCCGTGTGTCGAAGACGACGCAGAGAAGAACCCGGTCGGCACCGATGAATGCGATAGTGGGTTATCGGCATCCCCGTCGACACCCAAAGCTAGCAAGGACGGTAGTTCGCATACGAGTCCGGGAAGTTCCAATGGAGACGACCAATACCGGAAGCCGAGAACTATCTTTAAAGTCTACCAAGTAACGGCGTTGGAGGAAGTATTTGAACGAACACACTATCCTGATCAAGATTTGTTAGAATGGTTAGCTGAAAAACTTGAAATACCGGAACCCAAAGTAAAGGTAAGTTTCATGAATATTCAGTAGTTGCCTACTGATAATCCAAAGAAATGTGAATATTTCTTCAGGTTTCACCGCCATGACAACGCTACCGCACCACAATTTTTTTTTTTTTAAATATATTTATTTTATGTATGTTATATGAAGTGTACGTGTCTATTTAAATCATTCCAGGTTTGGTTTCAAAACAAGAGGGCGCGCTGGAAGAAGCGGACAGAGAATGATCTATACGAGAATGATTGCTCCCCCGTGCCATATATGGGCTCTCCCGCGCCTTATATGGGCACGCCTACGCCTTATATGGTCAACCCCGCATCTATTATGGTCAGCCCCGCACCACATATGACGAATAACACGTGGATGCAGAACATTCCGCCCACCTCCCATCCAATGACCAGGGCAGCAGCCCCATCCGACCACCATCCCATGATGCAACACACGATGATGCCACAGTACGCGAGCGCTCCAATGATGCACCCCATGCCGGCGACGCAATTTCAGGGGCCACCTTACACAGCCGTACCACCTTACTACCCCATCATGAATGTGCCGATGTCAGCTAGTTCGCGACCTGCTGGCATGCCTATGATGACGTCACACTATCCCCACCAAACACCGATGTAAATTCGAACATTCGTATGAACCGTGGCAATGAATTTCATCAGGAAGTTGAGAATAATCGAGGTGTCATCCAAGCGAACACTTGTTTCCCAACCTCTGCCATATTTAATGTAATATATTGTGCAATATAGTTTATTAAATAAGATTATAGTAATGCTTTTGTGTTTTTATACTCGGTTCGGATGATGATGACATTTGAATTTGTTTAAAGCGCTGTAGACATGTTTGAATTTGACGTAAACACCCAATGTATTTTACACGCGTTGTATACGTCGCTATGGGACCCACATCGAACAGGACGCGGCGCAACGACTGTAACGCATTAAATGCGCAATATGGTGGGGAAACCTTTTTATATTGTTGTTTAATTCTCATTAGAGCTTAAGCATTAGACTATGATTTGTCATGAACTGAAACCCCTATTCTTGTTCGCTGTTCGATAAAACAATGGTTTTTCTACTACGCATGCGCATTGTTTACACGCACAATAACAATTACTGCACATGCGTATTATTAGTTTTTTAACGGATAGTGTTGTGTGTTCATCATCGCAACATTTTTAGCTTATGGTAAATCATAATCCTATTCGGTCTACAGTATGGAAAATCGTATTAAAAATATGTTTTCGTCCATATTAAATCTTCATGAAGTGATCGTCAGCACGCAGCAACATGAGCTGTGGAAAGAAGTGTTAGCATAGTAACCAATGATAAGAAGATTAGGAAACGGACAACATTTTCTCGAAAACAGTTTGACCCCCCACATTCCTTTACTGCGCAGTGTCATTAAATAGGCTCGTGCGTTGTATACGTCGTATGGAACCCATGCCAAACATGGCGCGTTGAGACGACCATTGCACTTACTCGTTGTAGTCGAACAAAGAAAGAAAGAAAGAACAAAATAATTAAATTTGTAAACGACACATATGATAGTGGCAGGTAATTATTCAAAGAGCAGTGGTCACCGCGCAACGCATATGCGTTGATGAACATTGATTTTCCCACAATTTAGAGCGCTTTCCCAGTGGTATGAATGAATTCGAGATTTGATCTGTTGATCTGGTCGCGATGTGCACTAAATATCAAATTTGACACTTTAGAGTCCTCCAATACGTTCAAATCATCCTATGACTTCTCGAGTTTAATCTTAAGTTGGTAATATCCTGTTTTGTATGCATTGATATGCAAAACAATATCTCACATATGACACATATCTCACGCAATAGTGTCACGACGGCCATCACCCTCTTACCGGGAAGTTGACCATGTGCTCAAGTGAGGAAAATGCTATACCACAAACTGAAAGATGGTTCCCACGTTAATTTCAGCTATGCATAGTATGCCGGTAGATGGCGCGATTTCGCATTGGCGCTGAGCTGGCGTACTCTTTGATAGCACATGTCTGGGAATTGAAAAAACAAAAACGTGAATGAACGTTTAATCAATTGAATTACCCATTGTTTTATTATGTTGCGAAGGGGTCATGTTTTCTCTTTCCCCGTAGAGTCTGATGGATAAATCCGCGTAAAGTAATATCACGTTTATCTAAAAAAACTGAAAGTCAAATATTCAATCGAAAATTTGAAATTTTGAAATTTGAAATTGAAAACCCGATGACACAACCCAAGGCTTTGCTCTGAAGACCAATACGCAATACAAATGGTATGTCATATCATATATGTTGTATACGATGTCTTTTTTTTGGGGGGGGGGGTCTGGCTAGGGGATGTATATAATAATAATGTAATACTATGAGGTTATTACGAGGATACTGCAAGGTATGTACGAAGACAGTACAGCGGGAGTATCGACCGACGCGTAGCGACGCGTAACAGATTTAGCGAACATTTGTGTGTGGGGTCCGGTCAAATCTATGTTTGTTTTTTTATCATTAGAGGACGCTTACGCGCGTAATCGTTCCCTATTAGGAATTCGCGTTTCCTAATATGGTAGGATGAAAATCCCAGTGCAATACCGCAAAATTACGGCACGCTGTCACTTACGGGGTTAGTATAATAATAGTATATATACATAGAACATTACAGCAATTAAAACTGCTTCATAATATAATTACAAAACTTAGAAAGGTTCAAGTTGTTTTGATGAATTGAATAATTGCTCCGAGTCCATTTTTTAGTGTGTTTGGTCAAACACGATAATACGGTTTTAATAATTGTTTCGTTATTGTACGGAAAACAACACACTCAAACATATTGTGATATTCATCACCAATATAGTTGCCTTGGCATTATGTATATATTCTATCACGAGCAGCAACGTTTTGATAACGACCAGTCATGATAGGTAACCTATCATTATAACATCTAAATTTACATTTATATAATTCGATTACGTCAACTGTTTCACAACGGGAACTGTCATCGTAGCGTTCAAATAAACACAAGATCCAAACAAATGTAAC